CTTAAACGTATATTTTATTTAAAGTAAATTTTGAAAAAGGGCCATTTGATCCCTTATGAATAAACGTTGATTTTTAAAAAGACATTCTTAATTTATTAAAGGAAATAATTTGCAACACAACTTCTGGTTTCTAATAAAACACTCAAACATATATTTTTATTTAAAGTAAATTTTGAAAAAGGGCCATTTGATTCCGCTTGGTTTAGTGTTTTAAAAAACATATTACTATATCTTTTTACCAAAATCTTCTAAATAAATACATGCATACGTGTTTTCTTGTATTTCATGCATGTTGGAAAAAATGTATTTCTATTTTTTCTCTAGATCCCTTGATATGGCGTTAATTAATATTAATAAATTAATATTACTAGTGATTATTAATATTATTAACTCATCGACCGTATCTCGATTAAAAAAATCTCTTTATCGTTTTGGGACAAAATTAAACATGTTATCGAGATAAATATTGATTGGAAAAAAAATAAACAGGAATTTATTGGAATAAATTTTGGAATAAATTAGTTACACAATATTTACATTTTCTATTAATAATCTTTATTGAAATGAAAATGATACAAATTCGCTATGTTTATTAACTTCTAAACTAACGAAACTAAAAATCTGTAAATTTAGAGATTTTCAATTATAGTTGTCTATTAGATCACATATATGAGATCAGAGATTCGATTTACAGGATATTGCTCTTAGAACTAATTGTAAGTAGTCAGACCTATTGGGAACATTTGCTTTTGCATTTCATTCAATCTCGTGTATGTCCTCTATATTTTCCCCTGCACATTAAATTTGATTGCTCTATTCTGGTTGATTGTCAAATTAGACGTTATAAAGTTTAACTATCAATGAAAAATTTAATTTCTGCTCGATAGTGTATTTTATTTAAATTTATAAGTTATATTATAACTTATAAATTTAATGAATCGTTATTGAACTTGTGGAAAATTCAATTTGTTGACAACTTGATAATGCATGTCTTCATACTTGATTAATTTAATTAAGTTAATTCTGCATTAAATTCAAATCAAAAATATACTAATGTTGCAAAAAGTCATACAACGTATTTAGTATACAGTTGTGTTGTAATACACATGAGACTTCTATTTATTAGAGTTCATTAAACGATAATTATTGTAATTACATATTAGATAATTGTATGTTTTCTGAGCAACGTAACACATAATTTTCTTGGCATTTGCGAAAAGTAGAAGAATGCAAATCTTCATGAATTATGAATAGTGAGTCATTTGATTATGAATAATAGTGAGTCATACATCTTCAAGCTTTCAAACACCATAGTTGATAAATGATTGTAGTATGTTTGATAATTAATTCCTGTTGGATTATTCAATGACAAATGCAAAATTATAAATGATAAAAATAAAATCTTTTTAATGAACTGCTTAAGAAAAATTATATATATATATATATAAATTAAATATATTATATAATTAATATTAAATTATATATATATATATTTATAAAATTATAAATGATAAAAATAT